TGCACGTCCCCACGATCCTATTCACTTAAGCAGTGGGGGACCTCACTAGATGCCAGGGAGTCCCCCTGATCCCGTTCCAGCCCTCCTGGGCCTTGCGAGGACCTCACGATCACATGGACGGCATAGTCGTCCACAGCAATGCCAGCAGTGGGGCAGGTTCTCCCTCTGCTGCCTGAAAAATGTAAAATAAAATATGTAAAAACAGTTTAAAATAAAATATATACTTAGATCATATATATATTTATTATATATATACACATACACATGCATACACATACGCTGTCTGTGTATTTTAATATTAATATATATATAACTCTATATTTATATATTATCAAAATACACGTTGAATCATATTAATTATATATATATATATATATATATATAAATATATATTTATATGTAATATAAAATAAATAAATATGTAAATACGTTAAAAATAAAATAAATAAAATATATATGTGTAATTTCGTTCTAACTGTATTTTAAAATTAATATATATATATATAGATATCAAAATTCCCATAGAACAAAATAATATATATATATATATATATATATATATATACACATAAGTATATAAAGGTGGAAAACCTATTCATTCATGGGTCTATACCTCCCAAAAGGTAAGTGTACTATATATAACGGGTTCTAAGACCTTTAATAGAAAATGACATACATATTAAAATTGTATATACATAACTGGCTATAAAAGTTGCCAGAAAAGGTTCCCCTAAGGGATATCAGGTGAGTGAAATAAATATTCACAAATACTAGCTAGAATATATCCCCATTGAGAGTTCTATAGGTTACCTGGTAAAAGGAACACTGTTATAGAAGAAAACAGAAAAAGGATAATGTCTATACAAAGTAACCTTATCCAGGACTTAGTATCAAAGTAGAAAGAAAAAAAGGAGAAGGGTAAAGTTAGGGTTAAATGAAAATATAACCTGGTAGTGATAGTATCCCTGCACGTGATGAGACAGCTGCAAATACGTGCAAAATGTGCTATCAACAGGCAAAAGTGAGTGGTATAAATACTAAGCTAATAACCAAAGTTGTTTGCTGCCAGGAACATAAAAGTACCCCACTTATATGCCCCAATTTGCCCTGAGCTGCTAGCTGTCTCCCAAAATACAGGGGAAATCAAATTAACTACCTGCTGCTTCGAGGCAGCCTAAGGACTGTCCCTATAATCCCAACTCCTATCTGTCTAATCAGACTCTAAACAGTCATAAGAAAAACAAACAGAAGGGATATCTAGTTAGAAAAAGAGAAAATAAAAAAGCACACAAAAAACCTCAAAATAAATGCTTCGGCATTACAAAATTGCTCGACGCGCGTTTCGGCGTATCTAACCGCCTTTGTCAAGAGCTGAAAAGTGTCTGTATGAATGTCCGTGTTAAAAAGGTAAGTAGGTCCCGCCCCTCAAGTCAGAACTGCCAATTGTCAACCCGGGCGTCACCCATGCCGGGTTCGTAACTTAGTTACTCCCAGTAATTCCCATTAACCAATGGGGGGCCCGGAGGCACGGACAGGGGGCGTGGTCAAGCTCCAACCCACGTGGGATACGTAGTAAGTGCCGTAGGTCTATGAGCTTAAGACCGCCCCTTCAACTATACACCACGTATTGGTCTCCCACTTATCAAGTGGGTGGGAGGCACAGGGGGCGTGTTCAAGTTCTGTTTACATTATAATCCGGTCGAGTGATCATTGTGGAGAGTATGGTTATATTTTAATGAATAAATAAACATTGGTACACACAACCAATTGAGAGTATCAACTATATTAATAGGCAGAACACTATTATAAATATAAGGAAAAGACAAAAAAACTGTCCTAAACATGGGGCAGCACTAAATAGAATATAGTAATCCTTCCCAGATTGATGTTCATTTATGCATATTGGGAATATTAACCATAACCACAAAACTAAAGACAATATATCTCCGCATATGAAAATGATATATTTAAATAAAATATCATAGTAGAAGAAACACATGGAGATGTTGTGTAGTTATGTGAATAGTATAAACAGTAATCACAGTTTAAATAGATATACCAAACCATAGTTCCACAGTTAGGGCAAGTACCAGAATAAACAACAAAAGAGATAAATGTAATGGACCCACAAAGAATAATACATAACTAAAGTACTTAATAGTATCACATCGTCATTTAAACGTCACACAACCATGACCTATGGCGTCAAAGACAAATAGATGGTTTAAATTGATTTAAATTGATTTAGATTCGTAGGGTATAGAGAGTACACACTCCTAAGAAAATACCCACTCAAAAAGGGAAGGCAGGTAGAGTCTTCTTCCACATATTTGTGTATACTTCAAATGAGCAGATACGCTATTTCAAATGAAAGGGGAAAAAAGAAAAACCCTCATTAAGTCCTTTTGGGTGGAGGGTATTGAGTTTGTAAATCCATCTGCATTCCTTTTGACGTAAAATTTTATCGAAGTCTCCTCGTCTGGATTCACGTTTGACCAGCTTAAATAACAAGGACGGCATGCGAAAAGCCAGAATATACATATAGTGGGGAAATAAAAAATAATAAAGAATAATAATGAAAAACGTAATAATAATGAAAAAAGTAATAAAAATGGCAAAACAACAATCAAATACATTAAATATATTAAATATATTAATAATAATAATAATATATTAATAATATGAATAATATCAATATCAAAATGTAGTCATGTAATTAAGAATGTATACAGGGATGTATATAGATAACACACTCATAGACCTGCCATACGAGTGAAAAAGTGAAGTGAACACCAGTGAACATACATGTGAGATAAGATGGAAGGGAAGAGTGGGTACATATCAACCCTATATACCATATATAACTATAATTATAATATATGAATATATCAATATATTAAATCCCACAGTCAAATCCTATGTATAGACAACTTTTACTGCAAATAATTAGATAGTATATACCACATCTTGTACAATGGTATAACGTGGTATTTGTCTTTATAAAAATTCTATGATATACCCAATCCTGGTAATCAGTATCAAAAATATTATTACCAACAATCCCGCAGTGAAATCATATGTATATGTAACATTAACTGCGAATGATAAGATTGTGTATACCATATCTATACACTTATATCCTATGGTATTTGTCTCTATACTATACCTAATCATAGTGATCAATATCATAATTATTACCATACCACAAAAAGCAGAAGAACTGTATTAGAGGAGATAAATTGAGAAACTCAAATAAAAGGAATCAAAACCAAGAAATCAGAATAAGGATAAAGAAAAGAAGGAGAGCAATAAGTCAAAAAAAAAAACAAAAAAAGGGAGAGAAAAATAATAATAATAATAATAATAATAATAATAAACCAAACTAAAACTGAAGACATAACTTTATAAAAAAACAGAAAATACTATGTTCTCATTTAATCCCTTGAGAGCGACTGTATCTAATTTATAGATCCAGTCTGATTACATATATATATAACGCGGGTTGCACCTAGGCACAAAAATACTGCGGTTTATTTAACCTTTTGAAGTAAGGAGAGTGCCAAGCAGATACTGTTTTTTGTTATATATCGGTTTCAGCGTTAAAACCTTCTTGTGCACCCCCATATATCGTATATCGTATCTTGTATATTCACTTAACAGTGAGTTGATATTGCTTGGACCCTTATATTTTTCAAGATTGATAGTAGATGGAGGACTTTTTGCTTAAAGCAGGAGCATTAGAGGAGTCTGCAGAAACTCTTTCCATTACAGAGGAACATGCATCCTCTGTTTTATGGCCACGCACTTCCCAGAATCTTAGTCATTCTATTTCTGCTAAAGAATTGTATAACGATTTGATGAAACTTAAGAGACGTGAGATCGATTTAGATTTACATGGGGTTTTCATCTCAGACTACTATAGAGCTAAACGTATTCCCAGAGGCTTTCGTGTTAGAAATGCCCCCACCATTGGACGACAAAATCCTGATTTTTGTAAACGGTGGATGAATATCGCCAATAAATGCTCATTAGATTGGATGGTAATTGTGGTCGAAGAAGTCGGCAAGGAACTAGCCACAGTTAAACAATCTATACAAACCTTTGAATTAACTCACGTATCTATACTTCAAGCACCGTCATCAAATGAACTAATTCTCAAATTACAAGATGATATACAACGTTATCAGAATGATCTTATTCGATTTAAGCAACAGAAATTAGAAAAGGTCAATCATGATTACAAATACCATCAGGTGTATCGGTGGCTCAGTGGCTCTGAACCTACTAGATACACATACCCGCGATCTAAACCACGTATACGCAAACCTTCCTTCCAAACGATAGACATGAGCTCAGGGGAATCAGCATCCGATGTAGAAAGTAAAGAAGCATCGGACACATCTAAAACAGTAACTTTTTTAGACAGAGGTGCACATACCAACGACCCACCTGGGGGCTTAACAACACGCACCCAAGGCGCAAAAGGAACCAGCCCATACGAAGAGGGCAGAAGAACCAGAAGAAATATAAGTTACAACGCCAAACCTCCTATAAAGAAACGATGACGCCTGTATATAATTTGTCCAATAAAGAGCTTAATCCATATCATCTATCAGTAAGGGACTTACCTTTATTCCAGTCTGTAAACCTGATCGTTTCAAGTTGAAATAGAAATGTACAAGCTTCAGAGAATTCTATGTTTGAATGAAATTCGGAAAGATACATTTAAAAAGACGTATGATCATCCATTCACATCAAAGAGTAAAAAGGAGATATATAGCACTAATAGCTCCATTAAATCATTTATTCAAGCTGTTCATAAAGACATATCACAAGTAGCTCGGAAACCACCTCAACATAGATACAATTTAACAAAAGAGGAAAAATCCGCATTGATGGATTTGATGCATGATCCTTCAATAATTATCCGGCCAGCGGACAAAGGTGGTGCAATAGTTATACAGGCATATGTAAAGTATAAATTGGAAATTCTTCGCCAGCTTGATGATACAGCAACATATCGTAGATTAACCTATGATCCTATACATAAATTTCAAAAAATCATTGAGGAACATATAAATTTTGGATTACACGCAGGCTATTTGGATCAGAGGACAGCAGCATATCTCCATGTACCGTTTCCTAGGCATCCCGTGCTCTATACACTCCCGAAGTTGCATAAAGATTCCACGAACCCACCGGGCCGGCCTATTGTGTCCGCAAACGAAGGTATTATTGAACCTATTGCACAATATGTAGATTATTACATCAAGGATCTTGTGAAAGAACTTCCAACTTGCCTAAAAGACACACCTGAATTTTTGGAACATATTCGACAGTTACATATACCAAAACACAGAGACATTCTTCTTGTCACACTTGATGTGCAAAGTTTATATACTGTTATACCCCATGACCTTGGTATACAAGCAGTACGGGAAATGCTGTGTGGTTCGGAGTTATATAAAGGACCTCCAATTGACTATCTTATTGAGTTCTTGTCTATTGCGCTAACTTGCAATTACTTTAAATTTGAGGACCAATTTTTCCTCCAGATAGCAGGTACAGCTATGGGGGCAGCGATGGCGCCCTCATATGCTAATTCGTTCATGTTCTGGTTTGAAAATAAATACATTTTACCAGCATATCAACAGAGGATTTTGAAATATCTTCGTTATGTGGACGACATTTTCCTGGTTTGGGATGGTACAGTGGATGAATTAAAAGATATGGTCCAAACCGTGAATTCTTCACCAGTACCAGACTCTTACACCGTTGTGGCATGAAACATCTATACAATTTCTAGACGTTCAAGTATACAAACATCCAGAGAAATGCACATTATGTTACACACTATACAGAAAACAGACAGACCGGAACACGCTTTTGTTGGCGACCAGCTTCCACCCTCAACACCTAAAAGATGCATTACCTATAATCACAGTTCCTCTGGGTACTCCGTTATAATAGTGAAATATCATCTAGAGATATACAACTCCAAGAGATGTATGAACGTTTTCTTGCACGTGGCTACCATCCTCGGATATTAGACGAAGCCAAGAATCAAGCAATGAAACGCTTCAAGGACGAGAGCGACAGTACACCAGCTAGAACTTCGATACAACCTCATAACAATATCTTTCTACCAATAACTTTCCATACAGGTACATTGAAAATGAGAGATTCCATAAAAAAACATTGGGACATTCTTCAGGCTGATGCGAATCTTCCTGGCATATTTCAACAAAAGCCGATCATCAGCTATAAAAGGAATAAAAATCTCCGTGATTTATTAGTGAAAAGTGACCCTGTTCAATGTTATATGAAATCTCCTCTTGTTAAAAAGAAAGGATGTTATAAATGTTCTGGCTGTGTAACATGTAGCCACATGATCAGTGGTACAACATTTAGCCACCCTCATAGTGGCAAACGTATACCTATATCTCATTATATAACGTGTACCACTGATCATGTCATCTACATGATTACTTGCCCATGTGGCCTTTCTTATATAGGCAAGACGGATTTGACATTACGTGACCGTATAGGTGGCCATCGCTCAGGTTTTATGACCGCATTTCGAGACAATAAAACTGAAAAACCTGTTGCCAAACATTTTTTGGCAGCACAACACCACTTGCCTACATTAAAATTTATAGCGATTGACCATGTCCCTCCTCTTCCCCGTGGAGGTGACAGATCTAAAGCTTTATTACAACGGGAAGCAGCCTGGATCTATAAATTAGATACAGTCGCTCCCAAGGGATTAAATGAGAACATAGTATTTTCAGTTTTTTTTATAAAGTTATGTCTTCAGTTTTAGTTTGGTTTATTATTATTATTATTATTATTATTATTTTTCTCTCCCTTTTTTTGTTTTTTTTTTGACTTATTGCTCTCCTTCTTTTCTTTATCCTTATTCTGATTTCTTAGTTTTGATTCCTTTTATTTGAGTTTCTCAATTTATCTCCTCTAATACAGTTCTTCTGCTTTTTGTGGTATGGTAATAATTATGATATTGATCACTATGATTAGGTATAGTATAGAGACAAATACCATAGGATATAAGTGTATAGATATGGTATACACAATCTTATCATTCGCAGTTAATGTTGCATATACATATGATTTCACTGCGGGATTGTTGTTAATAATATTTTTGATACTGATTACCAGGATTGGGTATATCATAGAATTTTTATAAAGACAAATACCACGTTATACCATTGTACAAGATGTGGTATATACTATCTAATTATTTGCAGTAAAAGTTGTCTATACATAGGATTTGACTGTGAGATTTAATATATTGATATATTCATATATTATAATTATAGTTATATATGGTATATAGGGTTGATAGGTACCCACTCTTCCCTTCCATCTTATCTCACATGTATGTTCACTGGTGTTCACTTCACTTTTTCACTCGTATGGCAGGTCTATGAGTGTGTTATCTATATACATCCCTGTATACATTCTTAATTACATGACTACATTTTGATATTGATATTATTCATATTATTAATATATTATTATTATTAATATATTTAATATATTTAATGTATTTGATTGTTGTTTTACCATTTTTATTACTTTTTTCATTATTATTACGTTTTTCATTATTATTCTTTATAATTTTTTATTTCCCCACTATATGTATATTCTGGCTTTTCGCATGCCGTCCTTGTTATTTAACTATATAGTCTATTCTCCTCCATCTTGACACTTTCGTGTCCGTTCTTGTATGAATCCCCACTTCGGGATGCTGTGTTTCTCCCACGTTGCTTCACTTTCGGCACGGCGTTGTTTGGTCGCCTAGTTACCACTAGCTTCTTCCGAGAGACGTCACCACGTGATGACGTCATCGCGGCGTACAGCACTTCCGGGTTTCTGATTTCGCGGGCTAATGGGTCCCTAAACAATGTTCTCACATGTTTGGTAAGTTATTTGATTAATTGATATTGTATATATTGTCACTGTTTTATACATGTTGTGATCTTGAAAAAGACCGTTAGGGGTCGAAACGTTGATGTATTCACGGATATAATGAAGACTTTTGCACCTTAAGAATTTGATTGTCGTCCTTATTCAAGACCTGTGAGTGCACCCCTGTCTGATTACATATATATATATATATATATATATATATAATAATTCTACGTATATATTTATGTAATAATTTTACTTAATTAGGTCATTTTTTTAATTACAATTTGCGGGACCTGCCTGACAACCCAGGCCTAAAGTCCAGGGAATTTAATTTGCTAGCACTATATTTAACCCAGTAACTTTCCAAGACACCATAAAACCTATACATGGGGGACACTGTTTTACTCTGAAGACTTTGCTGAACACAAATATTAGTGTTTCAAAACAGTAAAATGTATTACAACGATGATATCGTCAGTGAAAGTGAAATTTTTTGCATTTTTCACACACAAACGGCACTTGAACGGACGATATAATTGTTGAGATATTTAAAAAAAAAATTTTTTACCTGGCTTATATGGTTTACCTGGTGCTTCTTGTTTTTGGCCTAGGTATTCTTGTCATCAATAATATTTCCTCTCTTGTTCCCTCCTATCCAACTTCATTCCACATCTCTGTATATATATATACAGAAAAGGGAAGAGAGACAACAGAGGAGTTGTGTGATAAAGCTCTAGTCCCTCCCTCCTCACACCCCCCCCACCTTATATAGCTTCCTGTTATAGCTTCTTCATTGTTAATCTATTTTATCTACCTGTCCTTGGAGAGAGAGAACTAATCTGTTTGATATCTTATTGTTTATTATTCTATCCTCTATTATTTGCCCGTTACCTTTGGGATCCATTTGACCTTTTACATTATTGTACCAGTTCTTGGGTTATGGATTCCAGTTTATTTATCCATATGTCCCAGTCTTCTATCTGGGTGTATCTGTTTCCTAAGTCCGTTAGTATACCCCTTTCCATTTTGCTTGCCATAAAACTTGAGTAATTAATTCTTGAATGTGTGGAATTGTCGCTCTTTTCTAGTTACGTGCTAGTAGGAGTTTAGCTGCTGTGATGATGTGTATTATTACCATTTGTTCTTTTGTTTTGGCATTTTAGGCCACTTTTAGATTTAATAAAACTACGTCCGGTTTAAAACCTATTCTCATTCCAGTTATTTGGTAAATTACCTCCACTACATTCTTCCAGTATTGAATTATCAGAGCGCAATGCCACCAACTGTGGATCAGATTATAATATATATTTTGTTTTTCACTCTGCTTCAACCACAGTGCTAGCCTGACCAGCCTATATAAAATTAAAATAGAAACAAGAATAACAAACATTATACTATGTTAATTCCTTGGCGAAGGATGCACCCTCCTTGGTTGAGCGTCTAATAAACTATACTTCCAGCATGTCTACTTTGACCAGAAATTTGAAATACTCTTTGAATTCACTTTGAGTTCTCACTTTAGTGAATAAGACTGTAAATGTTTTTTTTCTTATTTACCTATTGTACAATGCTGTTAGATATGTTAGCGCTACATAAATAATTGTACATGCAATTTACTATTTCTTCACAATTCAGAAAACTGATCTTAATCTATGCATTTATGTTTAATGAAATTCCTAAAACACATAATTTGTTTAAAAAATAATGTCTAATCTCGTATATGAGATATAAACCTACATAGGTTTATAGGTGATGTTTGAAGATTTGTGAAGCTATTTCATCAAGAAGATTAATTTCCAACACACCCTTGAGAAAGTAATGTCTTCGTAGTGAAGTAAGGTTTTACTGCAACCTGCTGGTGATTTACAATACTCGAATATTTGGAAACCTTACAAAAATCTCTTTTAGATTATTAACCAAAATTGTGTTTGCAATATGTTTGTTTTTTTCACCATTACTAGCACAGAATAAATACAAGGAATAAAGGTTAAAAATAAACCAAAAGTAGAACAAATTAAAAATAATAATAATAATAATAATGTGAATGTGTGTTACACCACGTATATTTCTTCCATAATGTTTTCATCGTATAAAGTCTTTCACTATGCTGCAGTATTTATGCAAAGGATGGATTTACTGATATATTATTTTTTTGTCACATGGGGCTCTGTCTCCATTTAGGATTAATCAATTATGGGATGGTTTAACTCTGCATGAGGGATCTTGGCAGCCCACAGCCAAGCACTTTTAAACTACTTGGGATAATGATAAAAGCTCAAGCTGTAATGGGCATCAAT